CCTAAAACCCTTAAACCCCAAGCCCTGAACCCCTAAACCCTAAACCCTAAACCCCTAAGTGCCTTATCCCTAGAGTTGCAGGTGAAGGGATCACACAGAATGCCAGTAGCAAACAATTATTAATGGGGGTTTCCTACAATTAGGTACCTTTTACTCCTATAATGGAGAATCAAATGGAAAAGAACATGGAAAATGAGATGGAAACTGTTTTATAGGGGTTTAATTGGGATGTTAGGAGTTTCCTACAATTAGGGGTACACTTTTGGGGGCCTCCATAATACGGACTATAATATTTTGGGGTCTATATTGGGGTCGCCTTATTTTGGGAAATTTCCAATCTACTGTCCCTTCATGTCCTACTAGTTTGGGTTCAAGTAGCCCATTAGTATGCCTAAACCCTATAAACCTCAATGCTCTTATGTCGGGAAACTTGGCTTTCTAGTTGGGGTATTGGGCTTAGGATTTAAGATTTAGCTGCTGTTTGCTTGGTGGCGCGCAGGTCCTTGCGCCATTCCGTGTTCCAACATTTTACGGCTTTTCAGGGGAGGGGTTTGTAGGGGGCGTCTAAGCATTTAGGTTGATCTACTGCTTCAACCCCAAAACCAAGCTCGCACCAAAAACTCAAATCCCTCAAAACCCTGAACTCTAAACCTTAAAGCTAGACACTAAGGGTTTAGATTTCCCTCAACCCCCAAAACCTCCCTGAGACCCTAAACCCTAAATCCCCCTAAACGCCCCCCAAACCTGCTTAGGGTCTAGGGCTTAAGGTTAAGGGCTTTGGGTCTAAGGCTTAGGGTGCAGGGCTTAGGGTTTAGGGGTTGGGGGTTAAACCCTAAACCCTAAACCCTATACCCTAAAAACCCCAAACCTTTAGGGTTTAAGGTCAGGGCTGATAAGGCCTAAAGCCTCCCCAAAACCTGCACTCCGAGTCTCCAACCTTCGGCTTGGCGTGAGGCTTCACTGCGGCCTATGCGATATTGGGCTATACCTGAACCCCAAAAGTATGTAAAATAATGGCCCTTATGGCTGTTATTCGCCGAGGCATCCACAGATCCCTTTAAAAACCCCCTCTACTCCCCCTTACAGACACGCACCGCCCCCCCCCGCCATGGTGGGTGGCCTAGTCCAACCTG